TCGATCACTCTCTTATTTTTTTGCAAGTGCAAGGGGAAAAACAGATTTAGGTAATTGTTGTCTCACAGCTACAAATTCCCATTATATGCTATACTTTTTCCTCCCCATTTCCCTCTATCTTCCTTCCTGTGATACTGTGTGATTGTCAAAGCTTTATTGAATATCCCCGATTTACCAACTCGGTAACACTTTAACACCCAGCGTCGTAACACGTTATCTGGCTATGGTTATATTATGACAAGTTATAATATGGTTATAACACTGTCATGACAGATATAAACTCAGCAAAAAAAGAAACGTCCTCTCACTGTCAACTGTGTTTATTTTCAGCAAACTTAACATGTGTACATATTTGTATGAACATAAGATTCAACAACTGAGACATAAACTGAACAAGTTCCACAGACAGGTGACTAACAGAAATTGAATATTGTTTCCCTGAACAAAGGGGAGGTCAAAATCTAAAGTAACAGTCAGTATCTGGTGTGGCCACCAGCTGCATTAAGTACTGCAGTACATTTCCTCCTCATGGACTGCACCAGATTTGCCAGTTCTTGCTGTGAGATGTTACCCCACTCTTCCACCAAGGCACCTGCAAGTTCCCGGACATTTCTGTGGGGAATGGCCCTAGCCCTCACCCTCCGATCCAACATGTCCCAGACGTGCTCAATGGGATTGAGATCCGGGCTCTTCGCTGGCCATGGCAGAACACTTACATTCCTGTCTTGCAGAAAATCACGCACAGAACGAGCAGTATCAAATCAAATCAAATCAAAATTTATTGGCCACATGCGCCGAATACAACAGGTGCAGACATTACAGTGAAATGCTTACTTACAGCCCTTAACCAACAGTGCATTTATTAAAAAAAAAGAGCAGAAGTAAAATAAAATAATAGTAGGGAGGCTATATATACAGTGGGGTACCGGTGCAGAGTCAATGTGCGGGGACACCGGCTAGTTGAGGTAGTTGAAGTAATATGTACATGTGGGTAGAGTTAAAGTGACTATGCATAAATAATTAACAGAGTAGCAGCAGCGTAAAAATATGGGGTGGGGGGGCAGTGCAAATAGTCTGGGTAGCCATGATTAGCTGTTCAGGAGTCTTATGGCTTGGGGGTAGAAGCTGTTGAGAAGTATTTTGGACCTAGACTTGGCACTCCGGTACCGCTTGCCGTGTGGTAGCAGAGAGAAGAGTCTATGACTAGGGTGGCTGGAGTCTTTGACAATTTTGAGGGCCTTCCTCTGACACCGCCTGGTATAGAGGTCCTGGATGGCAGGAAGCTTGGCCCCAGTGATGTACTGGGCCGTACGCACTACCCTCTGTAGTGCCTTGCGTCGGAGGCCAAGCAGTTGCCATACCAGGCGGTGATGCAACCAGTCAGGATGCTCTCGATGGTGCAGCTGTAGCATTTTTTGAGGATCTGAGGACCCATGCCGAATCTTTTCAGTCTCCTGAGGGGGAATAGGCTTTGTCTTGCCCTCTTCACGACTGTCTTGGTGTGTTTGGACCATGGTAGTTCGTTGGTGATGTGGACACCAAGGAACTTGAAGCTCTCAACCTGTTCCACTACAGCCCTGTCGATGAGAATGGGGGCGTGCTCAGTCCTCTTTTTTTTTCCTGTAGTCCACAATCATCTCCTTTGTCTTGGTCACGTTGAAGGAGAGGTTGTTATCCTGACACCACACGGCCAGGTCTCTGACCTCCTCCCTATAGGCTGTCTCATCGTTGTCGGTGATCAGGCCTACCACTGTTGTGTCGTCGGCAAACATAACGATGGTGTTGGAGTCGTGCCTGGCCATGCAGTCATGGGTGAACAGGGAGTACAGGAGGGGACTGAGCACGAACCCCTGAAGGGGGCCCCGTGTTGAGGATCAGTGTGGCAGATGTGTTGTTACCTACCCTTACCACGTGGGGGCGGCCCGTCAGGAAGTCCAGGATCCAGTTGAAGAGGGAGCTGTTTAGTCCCAGGATCCTTAGCTTAGTGATGAGCTTTGAGGGCACTATGGTGTTGAATGCTGAGCTGTAGTCAATGAATAGCTTTCTCACGTAGGTGTTCCTCTTGTCCAGGTGGGAAAGGGCAGTGTGGAGTGCAATAGAGATTGCATCATCTGTGGGTCTGTTGCGGCGGTATGCAAATTGGAGTGGGTCTAGGGTTTCTGGGATAATGGTGTTGATGTGAGCCATGACCAGCCTTTCAAAGCACTTCATGGCTACAGACGTCAGTGCTACGGGTCGGTAGTCATTTAGGCAGGTTATCTTAGTGTTCTTGGGCACGGGGACTATGGTGGTCTGCTTGAAACATGTTAGTATTACAGACTCAGTCAGGGACATGTTGAAAATGTCAGTGAAGAGACTTGCCAGTTGGTCAGCACATGCTCTGAGTACACGTCCTGGTAATCCGTCTGGCCCTGGGCCTTGTGAATGTTGACCTGCTTAAAAGTCTTACTCACATCGGCTACGGAGAGTGTGATCACATAGTCATCCGGAACAGCTGGTGCTCTCATGCATGCTTAAGTGTTGCTTGCCTCGAAGTGAGCATAGAAGTGGTTTAGCTCATCTGGTAGGCTTGTGTCACTGGGAAGCTCGCGGCTGTGCTTCCCTTTGTAGTCTGTAATAGTTTTCAAGCCCTGCCACATCCGACGAGCGTCAGAGCCGGTGTAGTACGATTCAATCTTAGTGCTGTATTGACTCTTTGCCTGTTTGATGGTTCTTCTGAGGGCATAGCAGGATTTCTTATAAGCGTCCGGGTTAGAGTCCCGCTCCTTGAAAGCGACAGCTCTACCTTTTAGCTCAGTGCGGATGTTTCCTGTAATCCATGGCTTCTGGTTGGGGTATGTACGTACGGTCACTGTGGGGACGACATCATCAATGCACTTATTGATGAAGCCAGTGACTGATGTGGTGTACTCCTCAATGCTATCTGAAGAATCCCGGAACATGTTCCAGTCTGTGCTAGCAAAACAGTCCTGTAGCTTAGCATCTGCGTCATCTGACCACTTTTTTATTAACCGAGTATGGCTGGTGGCATTGTCATGCTGGAGGGTCATGTCAGGATGAGCCTGCAGGAAGGGTACCACATGAGGGAGGAGGATGTCTTCCCTGTAACGCACAGCGTTGAGATTGCCTGCAATGACAACAAGCTCAGTCTGATGATGCTGTGACACACCGCCCCAGGCCATGACGGACCCTCCACCTCCAAATCGATCCCGCTCCAGAATACAGGCCTCGGTGTAAGGCTCAATCCTTCGACGATAAACGCGAATCCGACCATCACCCCTGGTGAGACAAAACCGTGACTCGTCAGTGAAGAGCACTTTTTGCTAGTCCTGTCTGGTCCAGCGACAGTGCCCATAAGGGATGTTTATTTAGACCTGTTGTGACATATATTGCATTATTTTATGGCTGGTTATGACACCTACATAAGAGTGCCAAAACACATAAAACCTACCACACAAGGCAAAACATTCCATTACACCATAGCCTACATGTCAACAGTCTGTTTATGTTATATACTTTTTTTATTGACCATATTAAATTGTCATTGTAGTTGTGCACACATTGATGTCAGACATGCACCTACCCAAATGCTCTGTTGCTGATGACTGGGATGAATGCAGGAGCAGGACAAGACACCCTCTTTATGACTGATGACTGATATAAGGGAATGTACGTGATAGGCCTTTCTGGTTTATATGATTATGATGGTCATAACGCTTCTTGACAGTGTAATAAAGTCTATTTTCTTAGTCCAAGTTAAGCGAGACAGGACGGTCATAATTATTATTTAAAATATGATGAAAAAAACATAACTGTAAAGAATTCATTACAACAAAACAAAGGTTTTAAGAGACAACATTTCAAACTAAAGGAAACTTCATTGCAGGGAAAAAACTCTTATGTCATAACCAGCCATAAAATAATGCAATATATGTCACACAAGGTGTAAATATATGGGTCTTGACAGTGTTATGACCATATTATGACATGTTATGACATTGGGTGTCAAGTAAAGTGTTACCAAATACTCCCCGCAGTGTACCAGGTGATAAAAACGAGGGCAAATTACAGGGCCCTGATCTCCCCTGCTTTTTACCCTGAATGCACCCGAAGCACGCACTGATAGCCGTTGTGTGGTTTGCCCATGCTGCAAAAATATCAACACCGGAAAATGGAAGTGAACCCCATTTAGCGGAGAGCATTCGATAAGGGCCATGGTTGGCCTGATACCTCCCAGAGAGGATACAAGGACGCAACACCCGACTTGTTGCTGTGGTAGACGACAACCGTCACTTGTTGCTGTGGTAGACGACAACAGTCACTTGTTGCTGTGGTAGACGACAACAGTCACTTGTTGCTGTGGTAGACGACAACAGTCACTTGTTGCTGTGGTAGACGGCAACAGTCACTTGTTGCTGTGGTAGACGACAACAGTCACTTGTTGCTGTGGTAGACAACAACAATCACTTGTTGCTGTGGTAGACGGCAACAGTCACTTGTTGCTGTGGTAGACGACAACAGTCACTTGTTGCTGTGGTAGACGGCAACAGTCACTTGTTGCTGTGGTAGACGGCAACAGTCACTTGTTGCTGTGGTAGACGACAACAGTCACTTGTTGCTGTGGTAGACGGCAACAGTCACTTGTTGCTGTGGTAGACGGCAACAGTCACTTGTTGCTGTGGTAGACGACAACAGTCACTTGGCCCTTTCCTCTCTCTTCGCCTCTTAAGTGGGAGTTTTGGCCTTTTATTCATGTACCTATCTGGCTACTTTTATTACGCCAGATACATTCGCCATGCACAACCAAAGCAAAACGACACCATGTGCCGTCTTTGCTCTCACCAACCCCGTAAACACTGCATCACCTGTTCCCTGTTAGCATGTGTTCACTCTACCATTTGTAATGATGACTTACCTGGATGGCACATTTTCCTCATTGCGCCCTGTGCCAGAAATCACTCAGACTCTAACATCTGTTCTTCTCTCCGGTGGGCGGTGTCATGGCGCCGTTCAAATGGCCCCAGCCAATGAGGAGTGGTGGTGAGAACACGCTGCTGATAGGTTGTGCTGACACAGCCTTTGCTCGTACCAAAATAAATGAAGTAGTGCGCCTTTATTAATGGAATGGGGGAAAAGCAATGCTTTATAATCATTCTGCACCTTCCCGAGATGCCATGTCCCTGAGATGAATAGGAGCCCGATGATAGATGAGGCATTTACTCCCAAGAATGCAAGCACAACGCATATTGTAATGGCCCTCTGAAAAAGTTTGAGAGACAATACTTTGCTTTAGAGTGCAGACCATTATTCTTCCATAAGGCACTGGCAAAGACTGACAAAATAATTCTCCCTAAAAGTTTGTGATTGATTAGAACAGCAGATTTAAACCCTTTGATGATAGCATAGTTAGGACATTTGAACGCTCTCCATGTCACCTTACCGGTGGTAGGAAGCTTAGTGGTTAAGAGCGTTGTGCCTGTAACCGAAAGGTCGCTGGTTCTAATCCCTGAGCCGACAAGGTTAAAAATCTGTCGATGTGCCCTTGAGCAAGGCACTTAACCCTAATTGCTCCTGTAAATCGTTCTGGATAAGAGCGTCTGCTTATTGACTAAAATGTAAATGTAAAATGTATTAACGTTCATTTCAACATTATACAGTGAGGGAAAACATATTTGATCCCCTGCTGATTTTGTACGTTTGCCCACTGACAAAGAAATGATCAGTCTATAATTTTAATGGTAGGTTTATTTGAACAGTGAGAGACAGAATAACAACAAAGAAATCCAGAAAAATGCATGTCAAAAATGTTATAAATTGATTTGCATTTTAATGAGGGAAATAAGTATTTGACCCCTCTGCAAAACATGACTTAGTACTTGGTGGCAAAACCCTTGTTGGCAATTACAGAGGTCAAACGTTTCTTGTAGTTGGCCACCAGGTTTGCACACATCTCAGGAGGGATTTTGTCCCACTCCTCTTTGCAGATCTTCTCCAAGTCATTAACATTTCGAGGCAAACGTTTGGCAACTCGAACCTTCAGCTCCATCCACATATTTTCTATGGGATTAAGGTCTGGCGACTGGCAAGACCATTCCAGGACCTTAATGTGCTTCTTCTTGAGCCACTCCTTTGTTGCCTTGGCCGTGTGTTTTGGGTCATTGTCATGCTGGAATACTCATCCACTACCCTTTTTCAATGCCCTGGCTGAGGGAAGGAGGTTCTCACCCAAGATTTGACGGTACATGGTCCTTTGATGCGGTAAAGTTGTCCTGTCCCCTTAGCAGAAAAACACCCCCAAAGCATAATGTTTCCACCTCCATGTTTGACGGTGGGGATGGTGTTCTTGGGGTCATAGGCAGCATTCCTCCTCCTCCAAACACGGCGAGTTGAGTTGATGCCAAAGAGCTCCATTTTGGTCTCATCTGACCGCAACACTTTCACCCAGTTCTCCTCTGAATCATTCAGATGTTCATTGGCAAACTTCAGACGGGCATGTATATGTGCTTTCTTGAGCAGAGGGACCTTGCGGGCGCTGCAGGATTTCAGTCCTTCACGGCGTAGTGTGTTACCAATTGTTTTCTTGGTGACTATGGTCCCAGCTGCCTTGAGATCATTGACAAGATCCTCCCGTGTAGTTATGGGCTGATTCCTTACCGTTCTTATGATCATTGCAACTCCACGAGGTGAGATCTTGCATGGAGCCCCAGGCCGAGGGAGATTGACTGTTCTTTTGTGTTTCTTCCATTTGCGAATAATCGCACCAACTGTTGTCACCTTCTCACCAAGCTGCTTGGCGATGGTCTTGTAGCCCATTCCAGCCTTGTGTAGGTCTACAATCTTGTCCCTGACATCTTTGGAGAGCTCTTTGGTCTTGGCCATGGTGGAGAGTTTGGAATCTGATTGATTGATTGCTTCTGTGGACAGGTTTCTTTTATACAGGTAACAAGCTGAGATTAGGAACACTCCCTTTAAGAGTGTGCTCCTAATCTCAGCTCGTTACCTGTATAAAAAGACACCTGGGAGCCAGAAATCTTTCTGATTGAGAGGGGGTCAAATACTTTTTTCCCTCATTAAAATGCAAATCAATTTATAAAATTTTTGACATGCATTTTTCTGGATTTTGTTGTTGTTATACTGTCTCTTACTGTTCAAATAAACCTATACTGATCATTTCTTTGTCCGTGGGCAAAAGTACAAAATCAGCAGGGGATCAAATACTTTTTTCCCTCACTGTAACATGGGCCCAGAGTATTTCCCGCAGGTCACATAGTCAGGGCAAAATTCCTGCACTCCTACGGTGTCCATATTTGGACAGCCTAAGGCAAATCCTTCTGAGACTGAGGCTGTCCTAATATGGACACCATACAGTTCAAGTCAACTTCTCTTTAGTCATAGAGTAAACTCTCCCTGAGAATGACCTCAAGGCATCTGTAGTTTCTTCAGTCTTCAGTCTCTCCAACCATGGAGGAGCTAAATGTGACCTGGTAATCTGGCTTAGTTTCATACATGGGAAACAACACACTGAGCAACACCCTCTAATGGGGCTATGCCCGCTGCTACCATACTGGGTACTTCACGGGTGGTCTCCTTGCTCAGCCTGGATCACTACCCACTTTCTCTGCTTATGGACCCTCCCTGTCTCCTGCTCTTTCTCTCTCTTCTATCTCTCTCCCTCTTTATCTCTTCTTCTTTCCTCTCTGCCATTTCTGAACTTTTGCACTCTCTTCTGGTCCTTCTTCTATCTCTCTCTCTCACGCTCATACTGCCCTCCTCTATGTTCCTCTCTTTCGTCCTAGTTTTCTCCTCTCTTCTCTCCTGCCCTGTCTTCTCCCTGTCTACTAGCTGTCTCTTTTCTGTCTCCTGTCTTATCGGTCCTCGAGCCCCCTCTCTGTATCCTCTGCTTGCATCTGCCTCTGGTCTTCTGCTGTACTGTCTTGCTCTCCTCTCCGTCTGTCCCTCTCCCCTCTCTCCCCGTCTGTCTTCTGTTCGTCTCCTTCTCTCCTTTCTTTTCTTTTCTTCCCTGTGTGTCTGTCTGTCTCTCTGTCTGTCTGTCTGTCTGTCTGTCTGTCTGTCTATCTGTATCTCTCTCTTTTATCTTTCTCACTGTGTGTCTCTCTTATCTCGTTCCCCCCTGTCGAGAGGAAGGAAGGAGAGATACGGAGCCGTTCAATGCACTGGAAGCCCAGTGTTGTCTCTTGTGGATAGTGTCGCAGGGTATCAGGGCTGCGTTGGTAGAGTGGAGAGCAGGGTAGCGCGCAGCGAAGGGGAATATGGGAAAGAGTGAGGCACTTCACCTCATTAGATGTGATGCTCCTGCAGGCATTCAGTTTTGTTTGGCTACAATTTACCTCTGGCAGAAGGGTACCACTCAAGTCTGCTTGGTTTTGATTTCACAATGTGAAAGTGAAAGTGTTTGATAACAACCAGTTTACATGCATTGATATGACACAGTTTACATGCTCCATGGCATTCATTCATAACTGACCAAATAATGCTGCCACCATTACCTATCCCAGGGGTTACCAAAATGTTCTCGCACACAATCCCAAATTGACATCAGGAAATTCCAGTGACCTCAACCATTGAACCATATACGTTTGGGAACCACTGACCTATATTCTAATCTCCATGGTACTCTCTCTCTCTGCCCCCTCAGCTCCCCCCACGCCCATTGCCCCTCCGGAGCTCCTGGCGGTGGGGGCCACCTACCTGTGGATCAAGCCCAATGCCAACTCCATCATCGGGGACGGCCCTATCATCCTGAAGGAGGTGGAGTACCGCACCACCACGGGCAACTGGGCCGAGACCCACATTGTGGACGCCCCCACCTACAAGCTTTGGCATTTGGACCCCGACGTGGAGTACGAGATCAAGGTTCTGCTGACCCGGCCGGGCGAGGGGGGCACGGGACCCCCAGGACCTCCACTCATCACCCGGACCAAGTGTGCTGGTGAGTTGAACAATGCGGTTTCTTTGTCGGTGTTGTGTTTCTGTCGTTGTTCTATTATGTTGATGTGCTCTTCTTTTTTTTGGGTCCCCATTAGCTGACGCCTTAGTGACTGCTAGTCTTCCTGGGTTCCTTCTAACTAGAGAATAATTAATAATCTGTATATACTCCTAGTTTGAGGGATAGTGTGGATTTCTACTGCTCATCTTTCAGTGCTGTATACATTGGGCTCCTGTTACCAGCTATTTCCACTTTGATGATGGGAGCTATATTCCTATTATCTAAGTGAAGGTTATTGAATCCATCACATGTGAGAACAGTCACTTTTTCCAAAACGTGGAAAACGAGAACCAAATAGATTTTCCCTTGCAAAAGTAAATCAATGAGTTCACTGTGCACCACCTGCCATCCATCTTCTATTGCCCAGTCGGCTTCTGAAGTTCACACTTCCTGATTCATCCGAGACTCTCAAGTTGCGTCCCAAACGGCACCCTATTCCCTTTATAGTGCACTACTTTTGACCAGTAGTTATTGGCCCAGTGGGTGTTGTATGGAGCTCGCAGAAGAAATAAATACTTCATTTAATAAAGGGACTGCTAATCAGATCAACCCTGTGCGTGCGTGTGTATGAGAGAGACTGTGTGTGTTACTGTTTCTGTGTGTATGAGATCAACTGTGTTTGTGTGTGTGCATGTGTTTGAGTTTTTGTGACTGTGTGTGTGTGTGCAACTGTGTCTATATGTGACTGTTTGCTTGTGCGTGTGTGTGCGTGCAATGGCTCCTGTGGGGCTCTGATGGGGAATGGTAATTGAGGTGAGCAGATGAGCAGCCATGGGAAGTCTCTGTTCTCCAGGTGAGAGAGATGATGAAGGAGCCGCGTGTGGCAGCGCCAACCCAGTGGGGAAGCACCAATGATCTGGAGAAAATGAAACACTGTTAGTGTCCCCTCTCTCTTTCTCCCTCTTCTTTCTCTTTCTTCTCTCCTTTTTATATTGAGTCTCTATTTCTGAATCTCTCTCTCTCTTATCTATTTGCCCCTGCTCTTTCCCTCTCATTACCCACTGCTTTACTCAACATCTTATTCTTGTTCTCCGTCTGGAAAACTGATTGGATTTGCAACAACTCACCCAACTTTTCATCTATATTCAATGACAGGGTGACATTTTTTGGTTGATTCCACGTTGAATTCACATTAGTTGACAACTCAACCAAAAGTAAATCAAAACTAGACATTGAACTGACGTCTGTGTCCAGTGGGACAGTTGTTGCCTTCTCTGACCTTTTGAAGTTCATGCAGGGTGAATATGTGTGGGAGTGTGTCTGTGTGTGAATCTGCTAATGAATGTCTGTCTCCATCTGCAATCTTTGGCCTTTGTCTTTTTGTGTGTTGGTGCTGTGACTATGTGTGTTCGAGGTAGTTTGTGCTACTCTAAGTGCCTCTGTGTGTGTATGCTTGTGTTTATGTGCTCACATTTGTGTGCACGTGTCTTTGTGTGGTCCTTTGGCAGCCGCCATCCCTCTCTGTACCCGGAAACAGTTTAGCTAGGTGAAAATGATGTGCTACATTGGCTCCATGCCACCGGCTCTGCAGGTATCCACCAGACCCCCACCACCCCCCACACACACACTCCTGGGCTCCCTGCTTCGGAAGCGCCACTCCCTCTCAGTGGGCTTCCACACCGCTTCTTCCCTGATAAATGCACCCAATTCCAGCTGACAGACGCAATCTGATCTGCGTTCCCCCGCCCCCCAAAATTATACATTCTGAATTACTCCACCACCGCCTGCCGCGGCCGTTCCCATTATGCTAATCCAGTCCCATGTAAAAAGCACTTTCCCGCTAATGTACACCTACGGGCGGTGGCATTCACTGTGGCATTCATTAGGCATGTTTGGAGAAGACACTGCACCACACATTATCACTATCAAAGGCAAAGGCAATGAACAGAGCCCCCCTGGAGGAAACTGTGGAAGATGTCAGCTCTGAATGGAGCCGGAATGGAGGCTGAACGGAACACGCAGGAATCGATACCGTCCGCATGAAGAGGAGTTTGTAATACATCCCCATACAGGCTAAAAGACAAGAAAAGGATGTTTCTTGGGCTGTGAGCCGACAGCTCTTGGACCAGTTACAGATTGCCCCGTCACTTTGGATTGGGCTGTAGAAGCTGACCTGAGAACAGTTTTGACAAGGGGGTAGATCTTTGTGTACTGTAAGCTACGCAGTGCTGCATCTCAACTCGGTTGTGTTATTAATGCAACACGGTATGTGTACCATCCAGAAGGTGTTGGTCCTCAGCCTATGTTACATGAATCAGAACAAACCCCGCTTGACATGTTCGAACCCCCACACAATTGTGGTGTTCATGTCAGCTGAAGATCGGACACTGTTCGAGACGTCCGAGTGCACAAAGATGAGAGTCAGAACCAATAAACAAATTACGCTGCTTGGGCATTTGCGTTTGTGCACAAGTATGTGTGTGTGTGTGTCTACCTGTGGCCCAGATCGATGTGGAAGAGGCTGCCTGTTTTCATCATATCAGAGGCAACCAGGAGGGACAGAGAGAGGGATGAAGAGGGAAGGGTGAGGAAGGAGGGAGGGAGGGGAGGGGAGACAGCGGGGGCAATGATGTGGAGGAGATGTGGTCGCGGCTCCATAGCTCTGTACTGTAAGTACAGCAGAAATTGCAGCAGAAAGAACAATTTGTTTTGTGAAGTGGCGGCCACCGTGTTTACCTGTCAGAGAGATCTCGCGCAGGGGGGTGGGGGGGTAGAGAGGAGATTGAATCAGAGGAGGCAGGTTTGCCGAGGCCTGGCCAGAGGTAAGTGAGGAGGCAAGAGAGTTGAGAGAGGGGGCTGGGTGGGGGGAATTTTAGTACCAGCAAGGGGGGTAAGGGAAGTGTAGGTGGAGGGGGTCAGTGAAGGGCCTCAGAAATGTTCCGGGGCCTTGCCAGCTCACTTGTCTGCCTGCCTGGCTGATTTGAGTGTTGGCAGCCAGCAGCGCTTTAATGGGCTCTGCCATGGCACACCAGGGCCGACGGGGAAACCCAAAGCACACATTGCTATTCACATCCTCCAACACCTGGGTGTATGACCATTACAGTGGACATACAGTTATCTTATTAAATTCAGGTTAAAGTTAATATATATATATATATATATATATATATATATATATATATATATATATATAGAATATGGAGATGTTGTTGATATTATATTGGTGGGATATTGCCTAATTAAGTAACATTATGCTTTAGATCTTTGGCCAAATCAAAGTGCTTGCAGTAAAATAATGGATATCAGCGTTTTATTTTATTTATTTATTTATTTCACCTTTATTTAACCAGGTAAGCCAGTTGAGAACAAGTTCTCATTTACAACTGCGACCTGGCCAAGATAAAGCAAAGCAGTGCGATAAAAACAACAACACAGAGTTACATATGGGGTAAAACAAAACATAAAGTCAAAAATACAACAGAAAATATATATACAGTGTGTGCAAATGTAGCAAGTTATGGAGGTAAGGCAATAAATAGGCTATAGTGCAAAATAATTACAATTAGTATTAACACTGGAATGATAGATGTGCAAGAGATGATGTGCAAATAGAGATACTGGGGTGCAAATGAGCAAAATAAATAACAATATAGGGATGAGGTAGATGGGCGGGCTAATTTCAGATGGGCTGTGTACAGGTGCAGTGATCGGTAAGGTGCTCTGACAACTGATGCTTAAAGTTAGTGAGGGAGATAAGAGTATCCAGCTTCAGAGATTTTTGCAATTTGTTCCAGTCATTGGCAGCAGAGAACTGGAAGGAATGGCGGCCAAAGGAGGTGTTGGCTTTGGGGATTACCAGTGAGATATACCTGCTGGAGCGCATACTACGGGTGGGTGTTGCTATGGTGACCAATGAGCTAAAATAAGGCAGGGATTTGCCTAGCAGTGATTTATAGATGGCCTGGAGCCAGTGGGTTTGGCGACGAATATGTAGTGAGGACCAGCCAACAAGAGCGTACAGGTCACAGTGGTGGGTAGTATATGGGGCTTTGGAGACAAAACGGATGGCACTGTGATAGACTACATCCAATTTGCTGAGTAGAGTGTTGGAGGCTATTTTGTAAATGACATCGCCGAAGCCAAGGATCGGTACGATAGTCAGTTTTACGAGGGCATGTTTGGCAGCATGAGTGAAGGAGGCTTTGTTGCGAAATAGGAAACCGATTCTAGATTTAACTTTGGATTGGAGATTCTTAATGTGAGTCTGGAAGGAGAGTTTACAGTCTAACCAGACACCTAGGTATTTGTAGTTGTCCACATACTCTAGGTCAGACCCGTCGAGAGTAGTGATTCTAGTCGGGTGGGCGGGTGCCAGCAGCGTTCGATTGAAGAGCATGCATTTAGTTTTACTAGTGTTTAAGAGCAGTTGGAGGCTACTGAAGGAGTGTTGTATGGCATTGAAGCTCGTTTGGAGGTTTGTTAACACAGTGTCCAATGAAGGGCCAGATGTATACAAAATGGTGTCGTCTGTGTAGAGGTGGATCTGAGAGTCACCAGCAGCAAGAGCGACATCATTGATATACATGGAGAAAAGAGTCGGCCCAAGAATTGAACCCTGTGGCACCCCCATAGAGACTGCCATAGGTCCAGACAACAGACCCTCCAATTTGACACATTGAACTCTATCTGAGAAGTAGTTGGTGAACCAGGCGAGGCAGTCATTTGAGAAACCAAGGCTATTTAGTCTGCCAATAAGAATGCGGTGGTTGACAGAGTCGAAAGCCTTGGCCAGGTCGATGAAGACGGCTGCACAGTACTGTCTATTATCGATCGCGGTTATAATATCGTTTAGGACCTTGAGCGTGGCTGAAGTGCACCCATGACCAGCTCGGAAACCAGATTGCATAGCGGAGAAGGTACGGTGGGATTCGAAATGGTCGGTGATCTGTTTGTTAACTTGGCTGTTTGATATCAGCGTTAGAACCCTGGTTGTCTCATTATGTTTTAGTTAAAATCTCTGTAGGATATCAGTATACTGAAGACAACACTACACTCAATGACTACACTTTTCCCAGAATCTCAACTTTGACCGGGGCCTTGCTTTGAAAATCTCTTGTTGTTTTCTCACACCGCCTCCCTCCTCCCTCTCAAGGCTTTGGTGTGAATAGATCACAGCGTTTTCCCTCTCTGGCCCCTATTCATTCAGAGGTGAATTGGGTGTACAGTCCTCAGGTTGAGACCCATTACTACTCTCCGCCAGGTGATGATGAGGGATGTGGCGTCTTTGGCTCCCAGCATGTCGCTTCATCTCAGGCTGTCAACCCTCCGACTGACACACTTCTTCCTCCCGGCCCTAACACCCATGGTGGCGAAGGTGCATTCGGCTCGTTAGGAGGTGGACTGAAGATGCCTCTAATCAATTTTTCGCTGAGCGCGAATGATCTATAGACTATAGACCTCCGCTTGACTGTCAACCAAACAGGATTTATTCTTATTATCTTTCCCTCCGTGTTTCGATAAATCTCCCCCCTGTGCATTGGAAGATGAAGGTGAAAATGTGCTCGTGAGAGCTGTGGTGGCAAGAGCATCCTACTCCTCCTGCAGTCTCTCTCTCTCCCTCTCTCTCTCTATCTCGCTCTGTCCTTGGCTGGTTGCCCCAAAAATACCCACCTACACCTTTTTTCCCCTCCTGGGAGATAAAATGGACACTCCAATATCCTGATTCGCTGTTTTATTAGGTAAATCCCATCCAAGAATTGGAAAATGTTCAAATTTACATTGGATAAGTTGGAATATTCTGATGAAAAATTGGCATTTTGAAAACATGTCATAGCTCCCTAAGCTCTATTGTCAAGTTTGACGTTTCTGGGTTTCTTAGAGTTCAGGCACATTTAATGATGGGTTTCTCCTGATTT